GGAGCCCTGGCCCAGGCTGCCCAGGGAGGCTGGGGAGTCTCCTTCTCTGGAGATATTCCAGCCCCGCCTGGACAAGGTGCTGTGCAGCCTGCTGTAGGTGACCCTGCTTGGGCAGGGGGGTTGGACTAGATGACCCACAGAGGTCCCTTCCAACCCCTACTATTCTGTGATTCTGTGACCGCCCATGGGCGCAGGCAGAGAGCTCCCGAGGGTCGGACGGGTGCAGCGATAACGCGTGGGGCAGCTCCCCGTGTCGGGAGCCGGGGTACAGAGCCCCGTGCCACGGAGCGGCCAGCCCCTGGCAGAGGTTTGCCCAGCGAAAGGCTTGGAGATCTCTCAGGTACCAGGTGCTGACGCCGCAAGGTTTATTTCAAAGCCCTTAAGGTGCCTTAAAACCGCACGGCCGCATCCTGCCAGAGCATCAGAGCGAGGAGGAGAGCGCAGAAACATCTGCTCGGCAGCACGTAACGGCAGACGCCAACCGCTTCGCCCACCCGAGACCTCCCCCCGCGAGCAGCCTTACCTTTCCCTTTGCCCTTCCCCTTCCCTTTATTGCCAGAGCTCCGAGCGTGGTTGGGGGGATCCTCGAAGCTCTTGGTTTTTGCGTTGTAAGCCTGGGGAAGAGAAAAGGTTCGGGACACTCGGATACAAAGAGCTTCTCCAGCTCAGGAATGGCCGAGGCATTGCCAACACCCCCTCGGAGCTGCCAACCCGGAGGGCAGGACGCAGACGGAGCGCTGGGGCCCGCAGAGGGTCCGTCACCTCCCTCCCCACTGCCTCAGGGTCCACATTTGTCCCCTCAGCTCCCAGTGACACTCGGATCAAAGCTTCCCCCGCAGCCGAGACCGAGTCCCCAGGAGACTGCAACGGGCTACAAACCCTCGCTCCGCACCGCAGCTCCTCCGCGCAAAACGCACCCAGGTGGGGGTCGACACGGCTGCTCTGCTCGAGGGCTCGACACGCCCGGGGACGCACCCAGACCCCTCGAACCCCGGCTCCCTCACCTCCAAGAAGTAGAAGCGGTCGAGCCCGCCAGCGGAGTAGTCCTGGATGCTCTCGGTCAGGTCTTCCCCGTACACCACCGTGCAACGGCCCTGCACGGCGTGGAAGTCGACCGTCGTCTCCTCGTCGCTCCAGTACAGGAGGTTGATGTCCGCGTGGTAGCTGGCTTTCATCGACTTGTGCGTGTTTTCGGGTCTGCAGACAAAAACCAAAAAAAAAAAAAAAGCACCTGGATCGGGGAAACGTTTTTGGCAACGTCCTCACGCCGGGGCGGCCTCCGGCGCTCACACCGCTCCGTCTCCCCAGAGAGGGTTTATTTCTTCCAGCGGCAACACGTTCACCGGCGTGGCCTGGGCACAGCACCAACGGGGTGATTTCTGTCATGCCAAAGGGGGCTTTTGGGGGGGGGGTTCTTAAGAGGATGGAGGGGGAATCGGCCCCG